AGCCATTAAAGAGTTATTGCCCAATTTAGGCGTCGTCAGCCGTTGTAGTCCAGTGAATATATCCTTGCGAACCATTTTAATATCATAATAAGGGATGGATTTATTGTCATGTGACTTCAGGCGTTGTCAGCCGTTGTTTTCCAGTGACTCTACACCTGGGAACCATATTAATAAGAACAATGCGCTTGTTGCTTTACTTTCAAGAAGTCTGCAGAGCTAAATCTTTAGTAGATGTGAGATTTGAGTATTGGTGCAGCAATGAATGAATATTAAACGGATTTATTAGTTTCAACGTAGAATTAACACGTAGAGACCCCATTTATGTCTCATGTTGATAACACATCACATATATGATAGCGATCAGGCTATCTAACAAATATTAGAAAACGTAGAGTTATAGTATTATAGTAGGCTAAAATGGACATGTCGGATAATTTTTCTAAGGATTAAAGATTCAAGTTATGGCGGTCGTGTTGCGCGGATGCTCTGACAACCGTTCAAACAAATCCCGAAGAACTTGTCCCTATTATTGAGACAAGACTTCGGGGAAGACCACATCAGGGCTGACTGTGTTTACAAGGCGTCCTAAAAACTCAGCTGTGCTTCTGGGGATCTATTACTAGACCAACACGTTTTATTTCCAATCTCTATATTGGAGGCAGGGCGGTTTAGCAAAGCAAAAATTGAAGCAGTGAGTTGCGAGTTCGAGCCTGCAACAAGCTGTGAATGTTCTGCGATATTAAGAATCGGCGACAGGCTTTTGGACTAATATACGCTGAAACCGCAATATTATATTAAACGCAGAAACTGCAATGTTTTTACTTGCATTTCACTCGTCCATCTTGAAATAGACATTTTCTCTGGCTATTAATCCCATGTCGTTGCCACTAAGTAATTTGGTTAACAGGTTTGTTATATTTTTACACAACTTTATTCTTCTATTTATTTCCTTGGCGGTAAACTGCGGTCGTTTTGCACGATTGCCCCGTAATCGCTGCCCCCCTCCCAGGGCCCAGCCTGGGGCGCGCATGTTGGTATGCCGGCCTTAGGCGCTCGACGCGCATCACATGGCAAGCCTGATTATTGATTTTTTTTATTTTTTTTTTTCGAAATTCATTTATATATTTTAACCACGAGAAAAATACTAAGCAAAAATGCTGTAACGGAATAAAATGATATGTTGCATCACATGGCAAGCCTCATAATAAGAAAAATGTTGAGCGTAAATGGAGTAATGGAATAGCAGGATTTGATAAGTGAATGTAAAATTGAAGGGAAATGAGACGAATGGAAAAAAATCTTAAGGATGGTGTAGAAAGAAAATTGCCTAAGCTCCAAAATTAAAAAAATTTTCTTACAATAAGTGGAAGATAAACTTGGTTTTATTGCGATTAAAATTTGATTTACTCCGAATCCTAACACGAAAGGATGTACATAAAGAACAATCAATGTAAGGTATACACACCAACCGTTTCCGATGTTAATCGTGTCTAAAAACCGATTACTCTAACGGGTCTAAAAACAACTAACTGGAAAAACTACAGTTACTGTCAGTAAAATCAGGGTTAAACCGTAACAATCAACCCGTAATTATTTAACCTTCATCTTGCTACGTCTTCAGCCACGGCCTATAACGGCCTGCATGCTACTGTACACGATGTCACGTGAATGAAATTTGCGAAAAACGTGCATTCATGACTGTGAAGACCATAGAATGGAACTGAACCAATTAAGAATTCATTTTGTGAGTAAATTCTATTGAAGTATGAACTTTTTTGTTGCAGTTAGAGTAAAGTCAGGATTGATATAGTCTCGCCATAAATTAGCGGTTGTCCAGCACCCAGTGCCGTTGGAGTTACTGGGTTCATTGGTAACTTACTTTCTTCAGCAAGTATCATAATTAATCATATAATCTCGTGAATAGGAGGCTATCTCAGAAGTATTTATTAATATAAATATCCAATAGTTGAAGTTGTCCAGTGTGAGTTAAGCCAAATTTTTTGGCGCGAGACTTACCCAACTTATAAAACTTTTCCAGTTTTGCGATCAGTGGGAAAAGCTTGTCACGCGTACGATCAGTGAGAATTTTTTTTCCCTTTTTATGATCGCAGTGGGATTTCTGAGGAATGGAACCAGCCTTTGCCCAGCAGACGGTCATTGAATGAGAACGTTTAAATGGACTCCCGAACAATTTGACTCCCGAAACTCATCGTTCTACATCGAGAATCAGAATGCAATGCATGTACTTGGAGAACGCGCTCGTCCTGGAATTTATTACCAAATATATGCCTTGTCAGGGTTGTGGTGTGATTGAAGTATCTTAGGCAAAGGTAGAGGCGGGTTAGAATACTCTGGTAACTACGGCCAAGTTGAAACATCACTGACAGGAGTTAGCAGAGGTGGACAGCAGCGCGCTACATGTATGTAGCAGCCGCTACTAACAGGCCGCTACATTTTCAGCAGCGGTAGCGGCGCTACATTCAAGGCAATGTAGCGGTAGCGGTAGCGCCCGCTACATATTTAAGTGGCGATACGAGGTTTTGCCGCTACAGCGTTACCGCTACATTTATAGATATAGCCTTTAGATTTTACTTAATAGTATTAAATATTATTTAACAACCAGCATGATACATACATAATATAAATTACAGAATAAAACTGTACGAAAGATTTCGGTGTAATGTTGTCAACCTCAGCCTGTTACTAGTGTCAACATGTTAGTTGTTAGCCAGAGATGGGCAGTAGCGTGCTACATGTAGCGGTAGCGGTAGCGGTAGTGGCGCTACATTTAAGCAATTGTAGCGGTAGCTGTAGTGCCCGCTACATTTAAAGCATGTAGCGGTAGCGGTAGCGGCCGCTACATTTCAAAGTAGCGCTGCCCAGCTCTGGGAGTTTGTGACAGTATTTGGTCAATTATTTGCGACAGATGTTGGTTAATTACTTATTTTGGAATTGACTAAGCTCACATGCCTCACATAATGATTAGAGAGATTAAGAGATTGAGATTAATGATAAAAAATTGACTAAGCTCACATAATGATTAGAGCCACTGCATATACACATTTTACAGCCAAGTGTAATAAAGTTAACACATTTTTCGAGTTTGGTACAGATCTTATTAATTCATCAATTCAGGCCAGTAAAGTTGAAACACCTCTAACAGGAGCTTAGCAGGGTTGAAACACATCTAGCAGGAGCTCAACAGAGTGGAAACACCTCTAACAGGAGCTTAGCAGGGTTGAAACACCTCCAGCAGGAGCTTAGCAGGGTTGAAACACCTCTATAACAGGAGCTCAGCAGGGTTGAAACACCTCTCGCAGGGTCATTGCCAAGTTGAAACACCTCAGGCAGAGCTGCGGTCAGGTTGAAACACCTCAGGCAGAGCTGCGGTCAGGTTGAAACACCTGAGGCAGCAATGCCCCGGGACTGTTGGGGGCGCATCTATCGCCCAGGAGGCCCCAGAGCCGTGTTCTCTCAGGCTCGCCCCGAGCTATTCACTTCGTCTTTAGCGCCGCGGACGCGCCAGGCGGAAAGGTCGTCCGTTACTTCAATTGTGTCCGCACTTTGAAGATGGCATTCCGGGTGGCTGAAGATGATGCCCCCCGATGTTAAACCAATCACGACACGCTGACTCGCTTGTCTTCAGTGATTTACAATGTAATTCTGCTGAATTTTTTTGGTATTAAAAATTAGCGAATAATTACTACTTAGCAGGTGCATTGGACTGATTGCAGGCGTTGGGCTTGTGATGAAGTTAGGTACTTTTTCTTAATGATACTATAATTATTAGATTTATATCAACATATTAATAAAATATATTGTATTATATTATTATGATATAAATATATTTATATAGTATATTATAGATGATATAATATGTATAATATATGTTATAATAGTATCATTGGCACGTAGCGGAGAAAATTATTTGTTTCGATAAATAAATGAGGAAGGACTTCCATATTCAATATTACATTGTTGGGATAAATCAACGAGTAATGCTATTCAAGGAGAAGCTAATAAGTCTTAGGTAAAGCATTTGTTAGAAAACTTGATCAAGGACGTGATGGGAAAATGAGGACTGGAAGATTAGAGAAGAATAAGAATGATACATTAACAAAAACTATACGTAACCAAATTAAAGATAAGAAAATCATATCATTATCCGACGCTTTGTTAAATTGGAATGCATTGTCAATAAGTTTAACGTTATCATATATGAGCAGCAGACGAAACAGTCATTAAAAACGTGCGGAGTTTCGATGTACTCAGGAAGGTTATAATTACAATGGCCTTCTGTAATATGATCATCATGATGTTGCAGTTGCCAACTGAGGAGGAATTTTCTTATTGTTATAAAATACATGATATAATTAATATAAAATACACGACATAATACATGATTTGCCTCATTAAATTTGCGAGACCCATGCATGCTCGAGTCATGTATTTATTAAGCTCATTTAACTCGCTTTGACCTTGGTTTCTTTCATCCCACCGAAGAAATTCCAGCGCTGTTTAGTGCAGGAATTTCAAGACTGTTTTGCTCTTTCATTTCTCAGAAAAAATCTCAGGGAAAAAAGTTCGCTAAGGATGGGCAACCAGTGAAGCTTGAGGTTGCCTCCTCAGACGAGTCGCAACCTCCGTCGAGTGAGGGTGTGAGGGTCGTGGCTCCTTGAGTGCGTTCAGTGACTATAGGGACCATATAAACGAAGGATTTTCAGTTTGAAGTGGACGAAGATTTTATAAACATGAGTGATGCAGATATTAAATATTGAATCATCCTATATTTTCCTGTAGTTTTTGGTAAATGTCAACAAACCTGTGAATTTGAACATGAATAGTGAAACAATGCTGTTGCTACGATGAGTGAAAACTGTGGAAATACTATTATTTTTAAAGGATTGCATGGAATTTGTTTTATAATTCATTCAAATAAAAAAGTTCAATAAGAATTAAATTCTAGAAGGTAAATTTGACCATTTAAATTCAATGCTGAAATTTATGACAGTTTCCTTTTTATTATTTATATAAACTGCCAATGGAAGCATCATTAAGAGTAAATTATTTTAACTCAACAATGGCCAATCCAATGGCCCCCAGCGGTCCAAGTCTGTCCCGACTGAACAGATATTTTGATGTGCATCCTCCACCCCACGCTCCTCAATACCACACCCGAACAGGGCGCCCCACACCTCGTACAGGAGGCCCCAGGACCAACAACTGCTGCGGGGACACATGTTCAAAGAAGCCCTGCAGTGCCTCCAAAAGCTGCACCCTTCCTCCCAGGGCGCCAGGACACAACAGCAGCGGGCACCAATATGACACCAATTCTTCCAATACAAATATATTGGATATCCCAAAGAGCAAAAATTTAGGCAGTGGCAGCTGCTGCTGCAGCAACAGCAACTGTTGTGTGGGTCCCGCCAGCGTATCAGGTCCTGCCATCAAGTGTTCTATTGACGGAGCCGCTTGCAAGACTTCCACTTGGACCTACAAACATGTGTCTCCGAAGAACGGTGGAGTAACTATAATCGAAAAAGGCTCCCGAGTGCGACCAGACAAGCAAGCCAGACGTCCTTTAACAAAACTGAACTGGAGGAACAGTCCAAAATCAAAAGGATTCACTCCGTCAAAAGATTATTTGGACTTGGATACACGGCCTCATTTCTCGGCAGCGTCCAGCGAAGTGTCCCCGCGACTTGCAGTGAAGAGAGTAACGCTTTTGGCAAGTCATCAGCAGTTCCGCGACGCCGCCGAGTTCATCCATCGCCTCCCCGGAGTTACGGTTCGTTCAGCTTTAACTGATCTACCCATGGACACGCTGGTAGAGGCGATGCCTCTCTCCCTGCCAGTCATCGAAGCCATCTACTGCACTGCCGGCGAAGTTTCCGCTGAAGTTCTTCACGTGGAACGCGTCGTCTGGCAGATGGTGAGATTTTTTGCTCAACAAGAAGAGTGTCTGACCGGAGACATCAGGTGGGAATTTTGCGGTCCTTTCGTCAATCTGTGCCGCGATGTTCTCAGGGTCGTTGCCAAGATCCAGCCGAGTTTGAGGAGGACGTTACTACATCGCAGACGTCAGTTAGAACGGGCCATTGAGGGCATGGGTCATCACGGCCTAGTTGGAACGTCGGACGAATCTCTAACAAGCCTTCACGATGCACTCAAGCTCGAGTTTGAAAAAGTGGTGAAGTCCTACACAGCAGCCCTGGCAACTCTCCAAGAACTCGGTACTGGCAATAAAGGACATAATATTAGCAAAGGTCCAGCACCAATTCAAGCGTCTCATCAACGCCAGCTGTCTATTGCTCCACAAGACATTCAGGAGCGGTTAATCAAGAATAAATCATTGCTAAATATCGTCGAACCAACCCTCGGCAACCATTCCCTTGACATACTGCTAGGGATCCTCCAGCGAAGAATTGAGCATGACAAGGACGCTCTCTTCCAATTCACGCAGCTCAGGAAAGAGGCAAAAGACATTCCCGCCGACGCCGTAGTGGCGCCCATCATCATGCGCTACGCCCATGGATGTGATCAGGTGCGTGTTTCATTTACGATGTAGTAATCATGAGAGTAATTGTAATTGAATTAAAATCATGCAATTATATAATTTATATTACATAAATAAATTAATTGCGAGCATCATTTCGCAAAAAATAGTTCGGTAGCACAGCGATGGCTGATGGTTGCAATACAGACTATAATTTTCTAACCGTGTGATTCTTGTTAAGCGTACAAACATCGTTCAAATTTTCGTTTTAATTCGCTCGCAAAGTGCCGCCAATTATTTCACCAATCCATAATTATACATGTAGAGGAATATTCTTGCCATAACACCTGAGATGGCACAGTCTGAGAAAGCCTCTCACGCTCAATCGAGCGCACTTATGGTCCAGTAATTGATTTAAATGTTTTAAATTACACGGAAGTTTGCGGACGAGAACAATGCATGTAATAGATTGGAATGAAATTCGTTGACTCGACTGTTGGACATTCCCAGTTGTCGCTTGCATAATGCTGTTCACTCAAGCGTCCAGGTCCACCACAAAACATTCCTTTACAGTTACCCCTAACCGCATGCCAGCACTTTGTCGTAGTCGCCATATGCATAGTTTCGAGGTTCTCAGTCAACAGTCTCATTTATCTATTCACTTTTGTACATTAAAGTTGATGCAGAAGTTTACGAAAATCTTCAGAATTACCTGGTGTACACTATTATTTTGCGACGACCAAGTTCCGGCAGGATCTTCCCAGCAACACAGTTAAACAAATACCAATATAGTAGTTAGTCTGAAATCTATTCCCCATTCATATCGAAAGCTAATTTTGACAGGCCAGTAATTAACTGGTCTGGAAAATTTGTACACACGGCACGTACAGTACACGCGACATATATGGTACACGGCATATATGGTACACTGTACATCTCACGCTACACTTCTACTCTAAATTTAGAAGGGGAAATAAATAAATTTTCAGAAATCAGAAATCAGAAAGTACAAGACGTTGCTACAAAATTTCCCAAAGAGATTAAATGGCCGCTAAAATGTCGATATCCTATATAAGATGAGTTCAACAAATAACCTTGTCTATCTAATTAATAATCTTGACGGAAAAAAATTTGTTTTAGTGCAGGAGTTAATACAAGCCCCATATAGACCTCTTGTAATGCCTTGCATTGAAAAAATGATAAGCTGAACAATTATACAGCGTTGGGAGCGTCATTCCTCCTTTCATATTTCATCATTTCCCTTCACAGAGGCCGCGAAAAAGGAAAATATTGCGTGAATTTCCTTTATCTGCGTAAGCCATCCACTGGCCTTTCCTATTTAGGAATGTTGCGTATCCCCAGGCCGTCCATGTTTCTGTTTTTTAAGGCTCTAACCTACCCTTTAATTTAACCTTAAGGCCTCAACCCACCCTTTAATTTAACCTTTAAGAGAAAACTGAAAAGTGAGGTCAGAGGTCATGCTGTGAGTGACGACCTGGCTTGGCCGAGATATTCTAAGGCTTGCCCAGCGGTTAATTTAATTTGAAGGCGTAAAGCATTTACTGATTCCTAATATACGTAGATAGGAAACATACTGAACATTTTGTTGGACACAAAGTGTACTATTAGCTGGATAATTTCATAGGTAAATGAGATTTAGATGCGGATCATGGCTATAGACAAACGAACGTTGTTGATAATGTCCTATCAATGACGTGAATCTGTCACGGAGGTGAATCTGTCAGTCCTTCCACCGATCGGTTGTGTATTTTATTTATTTTTTGTTAAAATAGTTAGTCATGGATTAATAATCCTTTTTTAATTTAGTTCTTAGTTAGTCCTTGGTTAATCCATAGTTGTTAGTTAGTCCTTAGGTAGTGTGTAGTTAATCCTTATTAGTTAGTCCGTAGTCAATCTTTAATTAGTCCGTAGTTAGTCATTCATCCTTAGTCCTTTGTCAGTCCTTTTTTACTAGTTCTGCAAATTTCTCACATTTGTCACATTCAAATAGGCTTGTCGCACAGAAAATTAATAGACGCAAAAGTCTTGAGGTGCGAATTTTTTCACGTAAAATAAAATGACACGTAAATGCCTTCATAATGGAATTCTTGTAAAAGTTGTTCATCGACACGGTTATTTATTCAATAAATTTTTTTGATCTATAAAAGCTTGCTTTGATTACATTTTCTTTGCACAAAAATTATTGCTCTTCATCGGAAATCACCGCAAATAATGTAATGATATGGATATAATAATCATCGCTATATATATAATATAGAGATAATCTTCAGTGCCAATAAATGCTATGCAGTTCATGCATAATTTTCGATGCTATTTTAGATGAGATTTACCGAGAAATTGTTATTAGAATACACGGCACTCTGGCAGCATCCAAAACTTGTCCATTAGTGCATTGAAGGAAGCAGTTGCATTAGTATATTGAGTAAATACCCGAAATATGGTAGCCGATTTTCCACGGGAAAGAAAGAAGATTTTGAAGACATTCGAAAAATTTTACAATCAAGCCATTTCGTAAAATTGGTGGCGTAATTATGGCAAACTGCCAGCCAGGCCTCACCACCCAATTATGGCAAACTGCCAGCCAGGCCTCACCACCCAATTATGGCAAACTGCCAGCCAGGCCCCACCACCCAATGATGGCAAACTGCCAGCCTGGCCTCACCACCCAATTATGAGCAATTATTGTTGTTTTTTGAATGTTGAGGCGTCCAAGCAGAAGAACAACTCGACTGAGTTTTCAGCGCACAATTTTTTTTACAAAATTACATTTACCTTGCTTAATAAATATTCAATCAATTTTGATCTGGCAATGAATGGGTTTTAAGAACTTAAATGAAAGGGAACACGTCCTTCCTTCCCTTTAGTGAACACTTCCTTAGGAGAAAACTTTTTCTTTGCCTAATCAATAATAAATTAATAAATTAACAATAATGTAGCCATAACTTACGTTCAAAGATCATCCAATAATTGCGGTCACTTCCAACTAAATCTGATCCAGGTCTAAATGACCACGTGCAGTATAGTACACGTGATTAGACTGCGACCCCAAATTATATTAGTCCGCCATCAAATTACAATCTTCTGATCATATTTAACTATTCCGTAATCAGCTCAAGTTACCAACATAATGTCTTCAAAACAAGTCACTATATTTGCGGTGATAATTGAGGAAAATGTAATAGAAATCCTAAAGTTCCACATTGATCCGCTAAATTCATGAGATTTGATTCAATTTTTTTTCGTCTGGAACGTGCGGTATGCTCAGTTTGTGAGGAGTGGTAGATTCCAGGTAATTCTGGCCTCCGGAACGGCGTGGCCAATTATAGCTAAATTTGTTAAGACTTGAACTTGCCCATAGAGGTTAAGAGGTCTCCAATTCTGTGCACATAGAGGTTAAGAGGTCTTTAATTCGGTGCCCATAGGATTTAAGAGGACTCCAAAACGGTGCTCAATCGGCCTGACTAAGACTTGGAAATATTCTGTATTTGGTTGCACTTCCTGGTGGGATTTGAGTGATGTGATGTTTCAAGGTTCGAATAAGAACGAAGTCCGATTATTGCTGTCTTTGCAATTTATCGTTGCTTTAAGATGCTGAAGAGATCGACCTTTAGAACGCTGAATGTTTAGACATTCTTATAAGTCTCTACAAACATGATATTTATTTGAATACTTCGCTACTTCCAATGGAGATTGAGTTACGTGGCAATAAATATTTACATTTACCTTCTCATGTTTAGATGTTCGCATTTATATATGCGAATATTACTTGAAATGAGCCCGAAATACACAGAAAATGAGACCATAGATATTTGATGATCCCTGAAATAAGTACAGATATATGAGGCTGCGTATAAGGGAAGTTAACAGGAAAAAATAAACCTCACTACTTACTGCAGCGAGTGACAGAGAGCGCATTTTCTCGTCTAAGAAAACGTGAAGTCACGGACGGACAGACAGACGGACGGGCGGACAGACGGACGAACATGACGAGCACAATAGGTAATTTTTTCCATTAACGAGAAAATGCGCTTTAAATAGTGGAGGAGATCTGAGTTCGGCCATCGCACAAACAGAAGTCACTGGACGGGTTCCTTGGCTCTGTTAGTGTCCACAACGGACACAAACAGAAGGGGACGCACTATCTGTTTTAAGGAACTCCAATTAACAGATAAGAAGTTCATGCAAAATAGTAGCTTGCACTCCAACTTCCTAGTGCAAGAAGCACGAAAAACAAGCTCCTCGGGCCGTGTATATCGCTGCGATATGCACTCATTACACGCACGCGCTCTAACCTCGTCGTGCACTTTCGCCTTGTGTTCATGAAACTCAACACGCAAAGAAATGTATGAGACTTTGTTTAAATATTGATGCAGTTATTTCCCCCATTGGATCATTGTGATCCATTTTGGCATGGCATAAGGGTGTATCAGTGCTACGTTCGCTCTCTGTTCCTGCTGTGGGTAAGAAAATGCGTCACCATTTGGACAACATTACCCATCAATTTGCGTGAGTGAACAAAACACTTCACCAAGACGTAGAAACGCGCAGGCAAAGTTTCGAAATTGGTCCAAATCTCGGTTGCGAGAATGACGATTATTTCTTAATGCTGACACGCGAGCTCTGATCTCGGGTGCATTTGCAGTGACCGATAGCAAATTATTGCCGAAATATGACCAGGAGCTCGAACGTGTCGTGATAATTTCCCCGAATAAATTTCAGTCATCCGCGAAAATGTTTATTGTTCGCAATAAATACGGAGACGATTTCAGGTTTTGTAAAATATTTATTGAAAATTATTTGGACATGCCAACTTGAACGACATGGGAAGCTTAAAATTAACATTATATGCTCTTACCTGTACATTTACCAACGTATTATACTAACGTAACTAATACTAATTCGTAACTTGTTTACTATGCAATTTTTGTGCAAAATTAGGAAGGATGGAACTTTAAGGTTCAGAGGCTTTCTTAATTAGGATTTAGTAAAAAATTTATCAAGTTAATGACAAGTTTTGCAGCGTATCT